AGGAAATACTCTGTATGGATTGGAGGCTCCATCCTCGCTTCTCTGTCCACCTTCCAACAGATGTGGATCTCCAAGCAAGAATACGATGAATCTGGCCCCTCAATTGTTCACCGCAAATGCTTCTAAACACATTCACAATCAATTGAAATTCCTGAACAGTTCCTAATATTAATAGAATGCCTTATATGACTCAAAGTCGTATTAAAAAAATCCTTAAAAATGTATCACATTGCTGAGAAAACTTGTAATTTTTTCCATGAATTCATGCCCTTTTGGCCCTAAATTGCTATTGTAGTTTTAATAAAAACACGATGATAAAAATAGTGGTCTGTTCTATTTTACTTTTCATTCCATGATCAGAGTGGTTCTCCATTAGAATCGAAGAAAAACATTACTGAAAAATCAATGCTTTTAAACTGTTAACTGATGTTTCGTGGAAAATTTAAAAACTTTACATTGGCATATTTGAATGTCCCTACCACAGGGTGCCCAACTCAATCTTTATTAGATAAAACAAATCTGAATTTAGCAAAGTGTTATTGGTTATATATTTTTAATATGATTTTAATGTTTCGTGAGTTCAATACAACGTGGGATTACGAAAATTACTTGATAGAATTTAAATAGTTATTAAAGTTAGTCATCAGTCCATCAAACCCATTGATACCAGCCATTGATACCTATGAAAGCGCCTCGGTAAGAGATAATTCCAAAAAGTAAGCTTTTTTGATACCAACAGAATTTCAGGATCAAATAAGAGTTATGCCAAAATCCTTTTCAAGCTTTCTTCGTTTTGGTCTACTAAGCTAAGGTTGAAAGAGTGCGGTTTCCAAACCATGTGCAAGCTGTGATTTACCTACATTCTGTTTATGGTTTTAGTGACTGAAAGATTTTCAACACCCCAAGATACAGGAATTCCATAGCGTAATAACTACAAACCAAGTATGAATGATAGACGTGATTTATTCAAGTCCCTTGTTTTGCCACAAATTTAACTCTAAAATATAAAATAACTTTTTAAGCGAAGCAAAATCTTTCTAGGTTACATTGAGTTTAAATATATTTTTTTCATTTTCGATATTGTATTTACATATTTGCGGTTATGATGACATCATCGCCAGTGATCAATGCCGGTTTTCGTTACCTTATATGGTTTGGTTTTGTGCACATAAACAGGACGCTGAGTTTTCCTTCCTCAAAAACCCTCCTGCGCCTGAGAAGTAAACACAATCTATTAGGGTCTTTTCCACATTACTTTCAAGATACGACTTTGATCATAGATCCCTGGTAGCAATAAGCCTGAAGCGAGATGACGTTTTACCCCCGACTCTATACCATAATAGTTTTTAAAATTCTTTCATATTAAAATTGTTGATTCCTTAGAGAATACAGGAACAATAGTCATAATCAAAGAACAAAAGCAGTGTGAAAAGGATTATGGTCTAGAGACGGGGGTAAAACGTCAACTCGCTTCGATTCAGGCTTATTACCAGAGCAGCTCGATTCAGAGGACAACACAATTAATGAATTCAAATTCTCAGAAGAGTACAATTCTATTGTTTTCAGTGTCCTCTGAATTGAGCTGCATTGAGAATATCCTGCGAGGGGTCAATATCAGGATTGGAAAATTACAGTATAATGATTGGTTATTGCCTAATAATCGCTAATATTTTCGATAGAATTTTAAAATGCCCGTTTCTGCATCTTATGAATCGCCTCATCATTCGTTTTGCTATTGATGATATACAACGTGCGCGTACAAGGTGGCTTGTCATACGGCATGCATTATTCTATCTAATATATATATTGTATGTTGCGCACAGTGCCTTATCGTATAGCCTGCAGTCATCTAATATATATGTTGCGCACAGTGTCTTATCGTATAGCCTGCAGTCATCTATCCAATATATATGTTGCGCAGTGTCTTATCGTATGGCATGTAGTAATCTATCTAATATATATGTTGCGCACAGTGTCTTATCGTATGGCATGCAGTAATCTATCCAATAATCCAATATATATATGTTGCGCAGTGTCTTATCGTATGGCATGTAGTAATCTATCTAATATATATGTTGCGCACAGTGCCTTATCGTATGGCATGCAGTGATCTATCTAATATATAAGTTGCGCACAGTGTCTTATCGTATGGAATGCAGTAATCTATCCGATATAAATGTTGCGCACAGTGTCTTATCGTATGGCATGCAGTAATCTATCTAATATGTATGTTGCGCACAGTGTCTTATCGTATGGCATGCAGTGATCTATCCAATATATATGTTGCGCACAGTGCCTTATCGTATGGCATGCAATAATCTATCCCGTATAAATGTTGCGCACAGTGTCTTATCGTATGGCATGCAGTGATCTATCCAATATATAAGTTGCGCACAGTGCCTTATCGTATGGCATGCAGTGATCTATCCAATATATATGTTGCGCATTGCTTTGCACACCTTATCCGATAAATAAACGTTTCCTTACCTAAACAAATGTTACGCACAAGCTTGTCAGTAACCAAGTCAAGAAAATTTATATCGCCAGTATAGATATTGTCTGAGGCCGGTTTGGATGCGATATCGTCCATCTGAGCACCGTCTATATATCGACCTATCCCCAAAGAGAGTATTCGAACACCTYGGGATCGTAGCTTTCTGGCTGGTGTCTTGACATCATCGCACGATCTGTGGACAGTAATACGACATTACAATATTCTAAAGACGCGTTGGGGTTTCTGTTCTTGCGTCAAGATCGAGTTAATCCAATTGTTCATATACCTTTGGTTGGTTAGGAGAACTATGACCTTGGCTTTTCTCGAAGGTCGTTTGAACATGTGATCATCAGCATAAGACAATGCTTTACCAACGCGAGGACGACCAAGTGGACACACTTGGGCCAGGTTATGGAGTCTATGGAGGACTTTCTTCTTGCAGGAGAACCTTACAAGTATTTTAGCGTTAAAGAATTAGGATGAAAGTGGAAATTTAATTTTTCGTGAAGGGCAGAAAAAAAAAACTCAAATCAAGGGAGAAACCCAACAAAGTCTACTAACATGCGATGCGGAGTCCAGGAATTGAATCCGAGACCCCAGAGGYGAGAGGCAACGTATAATGCGTACAATTAACCTTCACTCTTTGAGATTACTTACGCAAAGCTTGATACGCATTTCCACTAAGCTCACTATTTATTCGAAAATTGAACCCGTGAACCCAGGCTTGAACAGCTCCTAAGTTTTGCCACAGTCTAATAGTCTACTAACCTATTGAAGTTGAATGCCATTTTTGGTGTTGTTCCATAAGTAACAACACTCATTTCAGTATGCTTAGGAGAAACTTTGAATCTACTGACAACTTGTCTAATGAGCCTCGATACCTCCACATCAACAAACGGTTTCCGTCTCTTTCTTGACGATACAGGAACGATGAAACCTAAATCGAGATGGGCGCTACAAACTAGAAAAATACATAAGAACGTAGAAGGCTGGTAAAACATCACAAAATATGATGAAAAAAAAAAATTGATAATTAACGGATGATGATAATGATGACTAATGATTATAATTTATTTTGATGGTGGTGATATTCAGTGTCGTTACAATCATTCAAAAATTGTGTTGATGAAGATACATAACGATGATAACCATTTTGATGCACGAAGAACCTTAAAATTCGTTCATTTTACCTGGTCCTGTCTTTCCTTGTGCTGAAAATCATAGTAAAAAAATATTAGAAAAAAAAAAAAAAAAAAAAAAAAAAAAAAAAAA